AATAAAAGTTATGGTGAGGATCGAGAATTGGAGATTATACTTTTATACTAATTCTAGCAATGCCTTCGTGGGTTGAGCTCCTTTTCTATGGGCTGAAAGCCCGTGCTCATGCAGCAGCAACAACTTTTTCCAATCAGCATTAAATTCTTGGCCAACAAGATTCAAATCGGGGTTGTTTTGACACCATGTAATAAAAGTAATCAGAGAGAAATAGGGAAAAGAAGAGTTGATATTATGACATCCCACCGACCCAAAGTTATAGTCCTATAGGAATAAGATATTTATAGGTTTATATAGTGAAGCTAAAGACTCAAATGTAACATCGGCTAGGCGATTTTGGCAGTGGTTTGAGCCAAATAGCACGTTACACTCGGTAGGTCCCACGGCTTGCATCAGGCCCGTGGGCTCAGGGCGTGACAAATGGTATCAGAGCAGTTGCTAGCCGGAAGTGTGGAGCTAAGTGCTATGCGGGGCTAAGTGCTACACCGTGTGGTGGGAGTCACCTCTAGAGCCCGTAGGAGCTACCTCTAAAGTCCACATCGCTTGGTAGCCTGAGATGTGCTAATTGTCACGTCGTGACGAGGACGTCGACTTTGTAAGGTGGGGTAAGTGTGACATTCACCGACCCAAAGTTATAGTCCCACATCGGTGAGAGAATATGATATTTAAAGGTTTATATAGTAAAGCTAAAGACTCAAGTATAACATCAGCTAGTCGATTTTGGCAGTGGTTTGAGCCAAATAGCACGTTACACTCGGTGGGTCCCACGGCTCGCATGCGTCAACAGGCCCGCGGGCCTGGGGCGTGACAAATATTCTTTCCTCTATTCCACTATATTTATAATAGGAGAATCTTTACATAATTATTACCTAACCAATGTGGGACTAAATACTAGTTATCTCTCTCTCTCTCTCTCTCAACAAATATGATGAATGTTCACTCGAATAATCCTTTTTTTGGCATTCAACATATATGTGACTTTGTGGATATGAGATATTTTTACTTAAAGAGGGACCTAGTCTGAGATCTTATAGCTCACTCTATTTTTGTTACATCTCTTATTTTTAGTTACAAGCTAGTTTAAGGTGTCTTATTCGATGTGTTTGCATGTAGTTAGATTTGTTTTTACACTTTTTTTTGAAAAATCATCAATTGAACTCAATTTTGAACATCATCATTTAACAAAATTGTTATGGACATAGGTCGTGTTGTGATCGGTCTCTTTGGAAAAGCGGTGCCAAAAACCGCAGGTATGTTTTCATTGGTTAAGTACTGGGATATGTGTATCCTGTCAAATTCTTTTATTTATTTTCTTGTGATTCTTCCATCTTTCTATTTTCATTTCAATCAAAATAATTTATCATATAGAGTTGAATTAGAATTTGGAAACCATCTAAACTTGTTTCTTTCGCTTGTTGTGCAGAGAACTTCCGAGCACTTTGCACTGGTACGTCAGAATCATACTATGATTAATCTGTTTGGTTTAATTTATGCTTACAACTTCTGCAATCTTGAGATTTGTTCCTTGGCATATCCAGTTCATTGAGTTTCACTTAAGATTTGTTCATTGGCATAAGACAGTTTAAATTGCTGATGACCCAAAGTTATTGTTTGTAATATAGCTCAGAGAAGAAACAAGAGCTTGATTGGAAAGAGAGAAAATATAACAAGGGTTTAAAATGTTGCATATATATATGATATTTTGACCTATCCCATCTTTTGATTTGTTCCTCCATTCTCTGATGTGCATACAGTAGTCCTAAGTAATTCTTTAATTTTCATTAAGAGATATTATGCCATCATCAATAATTTGCTGTTTGCTATTCTGCACTAGAAACTTGAATGCATTTGCCTATATTTGCAGGTGAGAAAGGAGTGGGTAAAAGTGGGAAACCTCTCCACTACAAGGGAAGCTCATTCCACAGGATCATCCCCAGCTTTATGATTCAAGGAGGTGACTTCACTCGTGGTGATGGAACAGGTGGAGAGTCCATTTATGGCACTAAATTCGCTGATGAAAACTTCAAGCTCAAGCACACCGGACCAGGTAAAATACGCAGGATAATTTTCACTTTATCTTCTGTTGAACTTTATTCATAAATCATAACATTCTCTATCGGTCAGGACTATTGTCGATGGCAAATGCTGGACGTGACACTAATGGATCACAGTTCTTCATCACTACTGTAACGACTAGCTGGTAAATATTCGTTCTTTACATGCATACCTTAGCTATGAATTTTTTGGGTAAATTTCACAAAAACCCCTCTTGAACTTTGGGGTGTTTAACAATTTGCATCTTCAAAAATTTCCTTATAGATTAGAGAAACCATGTGAAGTTCTTTGACTAAAGTAGAATAATTGACAGCACTTGTGTCGCGTGCTTTGCTAGTGACATGTTTTTGGACAATTTTGCCTTACATACTTTCTACCTCTTTTCTAGTTAGTATAGGTACATAGTACTTGGGGTAGTTTAGACCCGTCACTCATATGATTTAGCATTCATGACAATTTCCAATAGTCAAGGGGGTTTTTGTACAATATCGATATTTCAAGTTGTGAAAGTTATTCCTTTTTAATTTTCTAAAATGAATTGGTGATTTTTCCTTCCCTGGTAGGCTGGATGGAAAGCATGTTGTTTTTGGCAAGGTGATCTCTGGAATGGATGTTGTGTACAAAGTCGAAGCTGAAGGGCGACAGAACGGAACACCCAAAAGCAAGGTTGTCATCGCCGACAGTGGAGAGCTGCCCCTATGATTGCGCTTCCCTGGCTTCTTTGGCTTACTCAGGCCTCTTTACTTTGAATTTGATGGTTGAAATAGCTAGAAGTCTACATGTATCAGAACCTGATGAGCTCGACAGTGGATGAACTTTTTTGGTGATTGTGTAACAGAACTCGATGTTATTCAGTTTATTTAAAGCTTGAACTTGAACTTGTAATATTATGCTGGAAACATCCCTCAAAGTTCTAAGCGTCATGAAAGGTATTAAACATAAATAATTACTCTAGATATTAAAAGAAAATGTGTAGACTTTCTTTAAATTTTATGTACATGCGTTTACAATTTCTTCTTTCTTCTCCACCAGAACACTTTACTATTGGATCATAGTAAAATCTGATCTTTGATTTTAACATTCCCCGTATTCAAGTTTATTAGTATTATTATTTTCCATGTATTCTCATGTATCAGAGGTTTTCTGAGTGTCCTCCACTCTGACATGGTAATAGCTGGTTTCTGGAATATCTCTGTGCTTTATTCATGTCACGTTTTCAATGTACATGTTAACTATTTTGTTAAACTTCACAGGGTCTCAAAATTGTATGACATAAAATGTCACGCAATCATTATGATCTGAATTACACAGTTTCACCTAACTCGATAAATCAAAAGTAACGATATCGAAGTAATGCATAAGTATTAACATTGAAATGCCAAACCAAAAAGAGGATCCGGAGAAATAGGAATACAGTAATTCTTTTTCTTATTTTTTTCAATTATGATACATATAATCCGAATACTCTTAAAGTTTATATTTTTATGTCGACTTAATCTTATGAGTATAGAATAATTACTAAAGTAGCTTGATTATATATTAGCGTCAACCAATATGCACAATAAAAAATAGGGAAAATTGCTTCCACCCCCTTGAGAAAAAATAGCAAAGCTTTCCAACCCAGGACAAAGAAATCAAAGGTTTTTAAAGCTCCCTGTCACTCTTCTTTTTATTTGGCCGCCCTCCATTCTCCAGCATTGTCCCTAAAATATATCCTTTGCTTACAAATCAGGAGCAAACATGACGACGAAGAATATGTAGAGCACGACGACGATTTTTATTGCTTCTCTTTTAGATTTGAAACAAGATGGAAGATGGCAACAGCCCCTAGCTCCAATAATGGAAAATGATTACTACAAATTGAGTGAGTTTTCTACTACTAATTAAGGTTAGGGTAGCTAGCGTGGATCGACTAGTTGTGTATTTAAATTTAATCCGTCCATTATAATTTTGGTTGCTAGAGATGTTGCAAAATGTTTTTTTTTTTTTTGATGATTGGTAGATCATTTTGAAAAAGAAAAAAAAAATCATGCACCTAGAGAAGAAGATGAGCAATGTGCATTATTTACGCTAGAGAAGAAGATGATGCAGCGCAGGTAAATGCTGAGGGCAGTATGGGAAGAAAAATGAGCACCCTGGGTTGACTTTCTGACTGTGGCTGCAAGCATGAAATTAAAAAAGGGTGGCACTATGGGCACACCCCCCAACCACAACCACAACCACACTCCCTCTCTTATTTGCTACAGTACACCGGACCCCACATGAGATTTTAAAAATTTAAAATCACATGTACGGCCTAGTGTACTGTAGCAAATGAGAGAATGTGTGTGGTTGTATTAAAATCTAATGTGGAGCCCGGTACACTGTAGCAAATAAGAGAGGGATGTGGTTGTATTAAAATCTCATGTGGGGCCCGGTGCACTGTAACAAATGAGAGAGGAGGGTGTGGTTGAGATTGTAGTTGGGGGTGTACCCCTATCATTTTCCATTAAAAAATTCTAAGCGGGTTTTCAGTTTTGACTTACTGACCTTGGGCTGAAAGCTCAGATATTTTTTCCTCGTGCAAATTTCCTTAAAAAATAACATACAACGAATTGAACTTAATTGATTGGAATTTTAAATTAACCGATTGATATACAGGATCTTATAATTGTAAAGAATTAAAAGAGACGGTTAAGTATGTGGAGGCTCATCGATATGTACGACATATTTCAATGAATAGCTAAGAAAACTGTCGGCAAGTCTTTGCAAACAGAGAAGAGGACGGCGAAGGTAATGTTTTCTTTGCTTGTCATGGAGGAAAAGATAGTGATGGTAGTCTTTGGTATATTGACAGTGGCTGTAGTAACCATATGACCGGGAACCGGTCACTGTTGATAGACTTAGACACATCCTATCTTGGTAGTGTTAAGATGGGAAATGGGAATATTGTAAAATCTGAAGGAAAGGGTATCTTGGCTGTAAATACAAAAAAAGGAAAAAGATACATCAAGGATGTAATGCTTGTACCGGGTCTAGAGGAAAATCTGTTAAGTGTAGGTCAAATGCTCCTTAACGGTTATTTTCTAGTTTTTGGTGATCAAGCAGTGAAGATCTATGATGATAGGAGTTTTAACAACTTGGTGGCCAAAGTCAAGATGCAACCCAACAGAAGTTTTCCTCTCTCACTGCACTAGTGGAACACTCAAGCTCTAAAGGTCGAAGAGGTGAACTCCTCCTGGCTACGGCACAAGAGGCTCGGACATCTCAACTTCCAAAGTCTCAAGACTCTTCAAAGCAGAGAAATGGTGTATGGCCTCCCAACCATTAAAGGAGTTGAAGGTGTCTGCTCCAGTTACATGAAAGGCAAGCAGCACCGAGGCGAGTTCCCAAAGGAAGGAGCATGGAGGGCAACAAAGCCTTTGGAGTTGATCCATACGGACCTATGTGGTCCAATGAAGACGGAGTCCCTGGCCGACAACAAATATTTTATCAATTTTATTGATGACTTTAGCAGGATGGCCTGGGTCTACTTTTTGAGGCTCAAATCAGAAGCTTTCACCGTCTTCCAAAAGTACAAAGCAATGGTGGAAAGACAAACAGACCTGGAAATCAAGAAGATTCGAAGCGATCGGGGTGGAGAGTACACTTCAGCAGAGTTTGAGGACTACTGTAGCAACCTTGGCATCGAGAAGCAAACCACATGTCCATACACTCCTCAACAGAACGGAGTGGCAGAAAGGAAGAACTGGACTATCGTGGAGATGGCCAAGAGTCTCCTACATGAGAAGAACCTTCCCTACAAGTTCTGGGGAGGAGCAGTCAACACCGCAGTGTACCTTCTCAACCGGTGTCCAACAAGAGCATTGGAGGACAAGACCTCCTTCGAAGCATTCTCAAGTAGAAAACCTTCCTTAAACCACCTTAAGGTTTTCGGTTGTGTTTGTTTTGCTCACATCCCAGGCCAGTTAAGATCCAAACTGGAGGAGAACACAAGAAGGTGTATCTTTATGGGATACGGATGCCATATGAAGGGCTACATGCTCATCATCTCATGAGATGTGGTTTTTGACGAATCAGCCAAGTGGAACTGGGATCTCAAGAAGGAGGAGCAGGTGCCCACAAACTACATCTACCTAGATTCAGAGAGCACCCAAGATCCAGATCCAGAGCCAGAAGTGCAAACTCCACAAAACGGTTCGAGTTCAACAAGCTCCGACTCAACCACATCAAGATCAAGTGCTAGCACCTCAAGCACACCATCCAACTCTAGTCCCAGTTCTTCCTCCTCCCCAGGAATAACTCCATTAAGATACAGAAATCTTAATGAGATTTACGCTTCATGTAATTTTTACATATTGGAGCCTGAGTCATTTGAAGAAGCCATCAAAAAAGAAGATTGGAAGAAAGCCATGCAGGAGGAGATCTCTATGATAGAGAAAAATGGCACTTGGGAGCTGGTAGAGAAACCTGCAGCCAAGCCAATCATCGGAGTCAAGTGGGTCTATAAGACTAAGCTGAACCTTGACGGGTCTATCAATAAGAAGAAGGCACGGCTTGCGGCGAAAGGCTACTCACAGATGCCCAGAGTGGACTTCAATGAAACCTTTACCCTTGTCTCCAGACTAGAGACAATTCGTCTCTTGATTGCTCTAGATGCTGACAAAGGGTGGAAGGTATTCCAGCTCGATGTGAAGTCGGCATTCGAAGTCTACATCCATCAACCACAAGGGTTCGAAGTTGCAGGAGCCGAGGATAAAGTCTACAAGCCCCACAAGGCGCTCTACGGTCTCAAGCAAGCACCAAGGGCGTGGTATGAAGAGGTCAACTCCTACTTCACCCAACACAACTTCAAAAGGAGCCTTAGTGAAGCCACACTTTACATTCAAAGAGATGAGATAGATATTCTCATTGTAGCTGTATATGTAGACGATATTATCTATACATGCAACAGTGAGAAGCTTATGCATGAGTTCAAGAAAGACATGATGGAGGTGTACGAGATGACAGATTTAGGCCTCCTTCATCACTTTCTTGGCCAGGGGATCCAGCAGGACGAAGATGGCATCATCATTCATCAGCAAGCCTATGCACAATCAATTTTGAAGAAGTTCGGCATGGCAGACTGCAAGCTCATCTCTACCCTACTGGTGGTCAGTGATAAACTCAAGAAGGGAGACAGTACCGAAGGAGAAGACCTCAACCTCTACAGAAGTATCATAGGGAGTCTCCTTTACCTCTCTAATACTCGACCTGACCTCATGTTTGCCTCAAGTCTCTTAAGCAGGTTCATGCATTGTGCAACAAGAGTGCACATGGGAGCTGCCAAATGGGTCCTTAGGTACATCCAAGGCACCCAGAATTTTGGGATCCATTTTGAGAAGAACTCCTCAGCAAAGCTATTCGAATTCTGCGATAGTGACTAGGGAGGTGATAAAGATGACATGAAGAGTACCTCTGGATACTGCTTCACACTCGGATCGGGTGTGTTCTCCTAGGCGTCGATGAATCAGGAGTCCGTGGCACTATCAACTACAGAAGCCGAGTACGTGGCGGCTTATCAAGCAACATCACAAATCAAGTGGCTGAGGGATGTTCTTGATGACATTGGTGAAAAACAACTGCATCCTACTCCTCTCCTCTGCGACAACAAGTCAGAGATCGCAATGGCAAAGAACCCCGTCTTCCACCAAAGGATGAGACATATCAAGAGAAAATATTGTTTGCGTAGAAAGTTAATGTATTCATTGCGGTATTCATTACAACTTCGATCGTTACAATGAAAACAAAAAAAAGATTGTCTTTTTATAAGACTTTTACACAATGAAAACAAAAGTTTACAACTCTCGTCAAAACAAACGCAGAGGACGTTTATCACCCGCTGTTTTGCGTGGGATCTTTGCCTGTGCCGGGGTTTATCCGTGGACCGCCTTAGATCTGGATCCGGTTGATGGAAAATTCGGCAGAGCTTCGTCTTCGCCGAGTAAGTATTTGATTTGAAGCGCTGAGATC